GTAGATTCCGGATACCACACACGGCCACGAGAGCAAGAGATCGAGGAGGACCTATGTGTCTGTGAGTCAGTCAGTCAAGCAGGGGATGTGAAGTCACCGTCCAATCCCTGCATGCACGGGCGGACGACGGGGCAGTTGGCATCACGCCGCATGCTGGGCGATGTGACTTTCCCGTCGGACTCGGAGGGGAGGCCGCCCGGCCGGCCGGGGCGGCAGTTAGCGGGCGACGAAAAAAGAAGCGCGCGCGTACGGCGTACCGGCTGACGAACATGCTTGGAGTTGAGAATGGGAGGAGCCATGACGCCACGAGAGTGACAAAGGACTGTGACCGTGGATCCGGCCGTGAACACGACGACCAAACGTCGATGAAATCCATGCATCTTTCGGATCCTGATAGTCAACAATGTCTGGGTCGGCAGAGGATGAGGTCACTCTGCTGATTCGGATGCGGCACTAGAGGGTACGTATATTTCTTCACAATCTTCACTTTTCCTTCCGGTAATGGACCCATCCACGTAATGTGTTTTAGAAAGAAAGAAAAATACTCCTTCCGATCCGAACTAATTAACGCTACCTTCATACAATATTGATTCGGCATTGTATAGAGCCGCGGCAATTAATTCGGATCAGAGGGAGTAGTAAGTTTGCAATAAACCTGTAGGTGAGCTGTGCCACAGCTTCAGGCCTGCCAACCAAGCATGTTCCCAATCACCAAATTTTACCAGGCAACGGCCTAATCAAGGCTGCCAAAAATATCGGAATTACAACTTCTGATTGATTGATCAGTCTAAATCACGTGACAGCACTGAGTGTGGCCTAAACTCTAAGCCGAGTTCATCATGGGGCATAAAAATTGCCATATGTCACAAAACAAGCAGTTATCTCCATCACCGTGGCCATCCTCGAGCCCCTCGGCGAAAATTGATTGTGATGCTCGTTCACGCGGTACAAAAAATCTGTGTGGTTCCTTGCCTGAAAATTAAGGAAGGCATTTAGTTTGGAGATGGCCATTGCTGAACGAGTGACCCAGTTTCTCAACACGTATTTTCATTAGAACAGAAATTTCCCAGAATCAGCCCTTCATCACCAAAGTAATAACAATGCCATTATACATATGAAAGACTGGGACGTACTCAACGGTCATTCTGCCACTTGGGGATAAAACCTAGTCGGCCAGGGTTTCGACAGAAATAAGCCGATTCCTGGGGGGAAATGCTGTTTGCTGGCACTAAATTTTGCATGGTGTTTGAAGCAATGCCAGACCTGCTGCCAAAAGGTGGTGGTAAACAAGTATGAACTACTCAACTCAGTGCTTTCAGCTACATGGTTGCCAGATGGCTAAATAATTGAACTATTTTGCAGAAAAAGCAGGAAAATCAAAGAAAGCTGAAGTGGGTGGTAGGAATGCTAAGGCAGAGAGCAAATGAAGTCTTTCGTGCAGTTCAAGACTGGCGTTTTGGTGTGCTCCGGATAGGGTGAAGATTTGAAGAAAGTCAACATGCGCGAAGACCCTGCTGGAGCAGCTCCTTTTGGTTATTTGCGGTCTTAGATGGCTGTGCTCGATGACATGGCTGGTTAAAAATGTACTTTGCTTTTCACTCTTTCTGTGGCTTGTTAGTTGGTTGACTGTATTAGTAAACATTGCTTTTTATCTTCCTTGGGCATCTGCTGTCTTTTGTTTTCTGTTTAGTAGTTGTAAAGAATTGGTGCTTTCTGGTAAATGAAATCAGATGGAGAACCCTCTTTTTAAAATAAAATGTGATATGTGATTCCATGGAATTTTTTTAATCAATGCTATGTAAAGTTGCAGACTACAGGGATCAGTTTAGTAGATTCCAGATCTGGGATGCAGCTCGTCAAAATTCAAAACATGCCCGCTGGGAAACCCTGAGACATTTCGGGACCTTAATACAGTCAATAAAACAAAATATAGAGGAAAAAAGGGATGAATGATCGAGTAAGTTCGGTACAGGAATTCAAGAATAGTGAGTGCACATCGCTATATAAATGGTCGACGCTTATACATAATCAAAGGCCTGATTAGGAATAATGATAATTTTTCATCGATTAGAATAAAACAACTCCATTGTAAAATTCAACTGGCAAGTGATGAAATACTCTGCTATTTGGACATACCATTTTCAAGCAGATGAAATTCGCCGAATCCACGGAACACGTTACCATGCAGCCGCCCTGTCCATGACATGATGTCGCGAGGAAACGGCTGCAATCCAGAGACAGCAGTCTTGGTGCATATGGAGGTGACGAACACTGTCCGTCCCTTGATCAACAATGACAGTGCCATCTGCTCTGAACCGCCTTACCACTGGCACATATCTCGAAGAACAGGTTGCATCTCAATGACAGCCCAACACAAATTCCTGAAGGAAATTTTTTTAGGAAGGCATAATTAGAACAAAGTATTCTCATTAGTCCCTATTAACATGTATACTTTGCTTCTAGCCCCCCTGACATTGCATTCAAGCTCCGCCACTGCTCACAGACCTTCCTGTTGGCATGAAAATCATATGAACATCCACACTAGGTATGCAGGGACAAAGGCAACACACTGGAGACACCACGAGGATATTACCCAGAGACACTTAGGACAATGGTGGGCGGAGCCGTGCCATTGTTGACGATGCGGCATTTGCGGCGCAGTAGCGTTTCCTCCAGGTGGAGCTACTGCAGGACGGCGCAGCGCCCATGGTGACCAGTCTCATGAGTGGTCGCTCCACGCTCCTCTGGACGACAGACCCAAAGGTCATTCTTGACATTGTGTCGTCTCTCGTTGAGGCCAGAGAAAGGATTAAAACGCTTCAGAGACGCATTTCTTCAAACACCCGATGTGCGTGCATCGCCACCTGAGTGGCATATGTCACATCCACCAGATATCTGCGAAGGGCGAGGGAATGAGGGACAACGGGACTGAGGTCTGAGGGCAGCGGCGCAGGCGAGTGGCGCCGGGCAGGAGGCGGAGGACGACGATGAATTGCGTCGTTGAGACCTTGCCCCTCACTCCGAGTCCGCCAAATGCCGACGGCGGAGTCGCTCACTTCTCCTTTCAACAATGGACAGTGGGCCCAAGTAAACGGACATGGAGTATCGGTATCCGCTCCCGAGCTCAAATGCATCTAATGAACAGTAAAAATGAAAAAAAATCGAAACTGAATTTCTTTTTCGTAAATTTTTACAATCATTTTGAAGCATCAAATTTGTTATTTTACCACGCTTTTCATGAATGTCGTTTCGCGCTGGAATTTTGCAAGCATACAAAACATTTTCAAAGTTTACCAAGAAAAAACAGATTTTTTTTATTTGTTTAGTATTACCGTCGTATCAAAAAAAAATTGTCTTAGATTTGTGTGGATACATTCGTATCTAACACTAAAACATGACTAGATGCATCTATATCTAGACAAATCTAAAACAAGAATTTTATCAGAATATGACTTTCGCAAGTAATCCAATGGCCTAGTATAATTAGCCGAGGTTAACTCTTTCATTTTCTTGCCGACAAGGAAGGTGACACAAGAGGAGTTTCACGCTGTCTTTCTACAGTTTTGAGGCACGTATTATCAATGATTGTTACTCGTGCGGTAGAAATGGATCAAAATGGATATATCTAGAACTAAAATACGTCTAGATACATTCATTTTCCAGACAAGTATTTCTGGACGGAGGGAGTATCGTATGTTATCGGATCTTGCTCATGTGATCTTTGAGCATTGCCCACCTCACCACATTATGCTTCAAGTAAAATTTCCGTCACTAATAAATATTTTTTTATATCATAAAAAACCTTCAACTTCAACAGAGGATGTAAAATATGATACTAGAGCTTTAATAGGTGATGTATAAAATAGGACAGCCACACAACAACCGCTCCACAATTTCATGCATATTTGAACCAAATAACATCAAAATCATCTCATATAAATCTCAAATCATCTTAAAATCATAAATAATCTCAAAATAAATTATCTCAACCAAATCATCATCAATATTCGAAGATGGGAGCCGCGCCGGGTAGGGGGCTGCCCAAAAATGTCGGCGAAGCGGCACAGGCAACAACGACCGAAGGGCTCGGACGCGACGGGGGTGCACCTACCCGTGGTAACTCCGGCGGCCAGAAGACCTACGTCGGACGACAACCATGAGCACTAGGAGCCGTCACGGGTGTCAACGCTCTGGCCAACAACCGAATTGGCCGAAACTCTATGCGGCGACGGATCCAAAAAATGGGCACGGCGGCGTGACCTCCGGAGGCCGTCCAGGATGACGGGGTGAGGCAATGGGCTCGCGACGAACTTGAGGGAGGACACACAAGTGGTAGCTGTAGCCTTGTTGGCCGAAATCGCCGGTGGTTGTGATCGGATGGAGAAGCGGGCGCACGGTGCGAATGTTCCGCGCGGCAGTTGTGGATGCACGTGTTTTGCTCAAGCGGCCCAAGTGATGCAAATTTGCAGCACTTGGTGACCTATTTTACATCATGGAGAAAACTCGAGTAAATTGTTTTGCATTTACATCAACTCTTGAAGCACCATTTTTTGGCTTCGTGATTAAGTTATTTCTACATCTACAACCTCTATTGAAGATGCTCATAGGCTTGCCTGTAGATCCCTCTCCCCTTTCTTCCTTCGCATGAAAAGTCTTTCACTTGTCTTTTTAGTTTCAATGTCTTGGTTTGGACGACGATGTTCCTCGATTTGTGGAGGTTGATGATCTCGAAACCTAGAAAATAAAACTAACCATTGCAATTCTCCAAACTCCTTCGATCAAAGTCGTAAAATGGATCAAGTGACTAGATTGCTTGCCACCTCACATCCATGGTTTCAGCCTCCCAAACCGCATCTAGTAATATCCTCCTGTCCCCATCGAGTCATCAACCTCCTGTTGCTTTCAGCTCCCATCCAAACAGCGACGCTTGCTGCGACGGAGGCTCAAACGAATGCAGAAATCAATAGGAACGCAGAAAAAGAAAAAGGAAATCTGCAGCAATGCCAGCCCCAACCTACCTATCTCCTCCCTCCCTCCCCCTCCACCACACCGCCATCGCCACCGCCACCGCCACCGCCAGCGCGAGCCTCCTCTCCGGTGGCCGCAGCCGTCGCAGCTGCCGACGGCATATGTCAGGTACCTCCGGGTAGACTCCCACCCGGTACCTACGAGGCCCACAACATATGCCCACCAACAAGTCTTCGTCTCATAATACTATTATTAACATAATGGCGTGCGATGACACCCTACCAGGTCTCGTGCTTCTTAAAGCCAAGGTCGGCGATGGCGACGGCCATGTCGACGGAGGGGACGAGCTCCTCCTGGCTTCGCGGCGACACGCGTAAGAAGCCGACCGCCTTTCTGCTCCGCGCGCTGCTCTTCACGTGCGTGGCATTCCGCGTAGCCGTGGCGCTCATCCGCGTTTTATACCACGCCGCCGCCGGCAGCGTCCTCGGCGTGGCCAGGGTCCTCTTCGCGGCGGCGAACGAGCGGTGCCTGCGGGGCATGGACCGGGCGGCGCTCGGGCGCGGGAGCTTCTTCGCGGGGGCCATGGCCAACTCGTGGAGGGTGCTCATGCAGGGGCTCGCGTCGCTCATGTTCCTCTGCGCGCGCGCCGATGAGTATGTCCGGCAGCCGCCGAGCCCGCTTGTGCTGACGGCCCACGACAAGCCGGCGGCTCATCCTCAGCAGGTACGGGGGAATTTTACTCTGAACAGCTCTCAAGAGTGTGCAAGAACTTGGCATTAGTATGCTGGCAGCTGATTTATGGGAATTTTTCAAACCATAATTCTTCACAAAAATTTGGTGGCAGGAGCGTTCTGCCTTGGTCAACTCTGTTTTATCCCCAATCCTCTGTTTTTTTGTTTATATATAGAAAGATAATCCTTTTCTTTGCGGAAAATGTAGACAGATAATCCCCAGACAATGGATAACAATGACATTGCTTGGAGCAACTCGAACTGAGGTTAATTTCAGCTACCCTTAGTTCTTGATGCCTGTACAAGATGCTTAAGGGGTAGCTTTAACCTCAGATTGATTTGCTACAAGTCCGCTGACGACGGATGTCATCCAACCGCAGTCTACAATTTAGCTCAAAAACTGTGTGAGAAAAGTAGATGGTAAAGAAATACTCCTTCTGTTTCTAAATGTAAGTCTTTGTATAGATTTCACTATAAACCGCATATGGATGCATACAGATGCCTTTTAAGTTTAGATTCATTCATTTTGCTTCGTATATAGTCCATCTAGTGAAATTTCTACAAAGACTTATATTTAGGAACGGATGGAGTATAATTTAGGACGTGTGGATCTAAAAGTAGGCACAAAGAAAAATTCAACGTTAAATAAAATTTGTCTTGATATCTTGGGCAGGACAGGACCGAAATGCTTTTGGGTACAAGTATAAACAAATGGTCCGTGTTGTTTTGGTCGGCATGGGCTGAGCTTGCCGACTGCTGCGCAAGTGGTCTGGGGTCCGAAGCTGCCAAGTACTCTTATATTTAAACAGCGCCAAGCCGTCTAAATCGGCCAAATCTCTTTCAGCTGCTAGAGTGCTAGGACGTCTAAATCGGCCAAACCACACCCCACTACCACACCCAATAGCATCATCAGGTTGCTCACAGTGGAAAGCACTAGAGTATAGTATAATATCTTAGATGTCTTATCTATTGTCATTCATCACACATATCAGCGTTGGAAGTGGATCCTCTAACATAAAGAAGAGAAGTCATCTAAGTTACAATTCCCTAACTTTCCTCCTTCGCATCCATATGATTAAGGCTAGAATGACTTGATTTAATTTGCAAATTACAAATCTATTGTATACATTTACAAAAATTACATACAAACAAAATTATGATGTAATAAAATTAATTTTAAACTTATTTACATGAACAGTAACCGCACACATAACTTGTTACAGTAGCTAAATACAATATTGGCTACAGTGCCCCTGACTTTCCTTCTTTGTTTTGCACTAGATTGCACTATAGGTTAGGTGACTTTTCTCCTTAATGTTAGAGGATCCACTTCCATCAGCGTTATACATAGCACGATGTAGCATGAGGAACAATGAGCATACAATGTCTCAATAATAGCTCGTCATGATGTGCTACAGCATGCTAGTAGCGAACTTTAAGGCCGATGTTATTTTGCTATAACACGCTATATTTTCACTAATATTATTAGCACTTGTTATGATACTCGACTCTCTCTCTATATATACATGTAACTGTATGCCGTCTCATCAAAATTGCCTAGTTGACACAAATAATACGTTCTTTTATACTCCCATTATGAGTAGCCTCAGGACCGTTTTTGGAGTTCATTGTTGCTCCCCTGGTTGTCAATCCGTGCATGGGCGAAGTTTTGTCATGGAGTTCATTCCTCTGGAAGAAGATGGCATTACAAAATAGCACAATTCATCTATAGATACATATTGAGTTACTCCCTCCATTTCTTTTTTTACTTTGTATACAAAATTTGTCCTAAGTTAAACTTTGTAAAGTTTGACCAACTTTATAGAAAAAATATTAACATTCACAATACAAAAGCATTATCATTAGATGCATTATGAAATTAATTTTCATATTGTATAACTTAGTTCTTGTAGATGTTGATATTTTTTAATATAAATTTGGTCAAACTTTACCAAGTTTGACTCTAGAGAAATCTTTTTTTTAGCAACTCTAGAGAAATCTTATATGCAGAGTAAAAAGAACCGATGGGAGTACAAAAGTTGCCCGCGGTGGTTGTTTGACTGACCCAGGAGCCTGTATCACGGTAGCACCTAGGCATTCAATAGTACTACCTCCGTCCTGGTTTATTGGCCCCATTGTATTTTGTGCCAAATTTTGACCATAGATTTAACTAACAAAATGTTTATGCATGTCATCAAAAATTATATAACTTAAAACAATGATGAATTACAAATCAAATGATATAATTTTTGTTGACATACATTATATTTTGTTAGTTATATCTTAAGTCAAAATTTGACACAAATTAAAAAAAGACCAATAAACCAAGACGGAGGTAGTACTAGATATTCTCCCGGTGTCTATCGGCAGGGCCGTCTCCAGGAAATAGGGGGCCCGGTGCGAAACGCAAAATGAGGCCCCAAATTTTGAAATTTGCGTATGCTAACAAACTAACATAAGTAAATCATGCTCTCTAATTTCATGTAAAATTTATTCATGTATATAATACCAGTGCTAAAAATCTAAAAGTATGGGTCGCAAAATCCAGGTGTGCTCGAGGTAGGAGTTTTAAGTGAAATCAACTAATTGAAAAAGAAAATATAAATTTGGTACCCCGTGATATTTCATCAAACTAAGCACTTCAAAAGGCACAAAACTCACTCACCTCACCCTGCCATCATGAGCTGAGCTGCACACACTCCCGCGAAGCTGCTGTGTACTCCATTGGGACTCGGCTCCCCTGACGTACTGCAGGGCGCAGTTGGGTCACTGACAGGTGGGCCAACTTGCTTTCAAGCCCACATGTCAGTGGCCCAACTGCGCGCTGCAGTACGTCAGAGGAGCCTCATCCACTCCATTGTGCCTCCCAACCCGCAGCCTGAAGAGAGAAATCAAAGCTCACTCACCACGCCCTGCCAGCCTATCTGGACAGAAGGAGATACATAATTTAAGGAAAAATATTCTCTATGGAAAATTGATGCAGGAGTGGGGAATAAAAGGAGGGCGGACTAGCTAAATGCCAAAGCATCGGATGAAGCGCAATAGAAAAAGATATTGAAGGTGAAAACGGCTACTACTATTGCTAACTCGCTATTATTATTGGTGAAACAATTGCCTGAAACCCAAATCATAGATGTAAAATAGAAGATAATTTAGGAGAAGGAAATATGAGAAGAAGCTTCAGAGCTTACGTACGGAGAAGTGAGGAAACTGGGGGATCACAAAGCCATGCCGCCATGGCCAGGATCGATCTGCCTTCAACGTTGGTCCACTGCCATCCGCCATTCCCGTGGGGAGGAGGGGAGTCCGGACGTGAGGCACTCTTGGGGGAGGAGAGGAGGTGGCGCACGATCGAGACAGAGGGGGAAGTTCGAGGGAAGGCGGCGGGTTACCGATTTCTCGGGGCGCAGGACCTACGACGACTCGTATCAGATCAGCCTGATTTTTCGCATCAGATCAGGCTGATGAACCGGGGTGGTTTCAACTATTTTTTTTACAGGCTGATGTTGGTATTCCCCGATCGGGGGCCCCATGATTTCGGGGGCCCTGTGCGATCGCACCGTTCGCAGAGCCTTGTCGACGGGCCTGTCTATCGGCTGGGGAGTGGATCGATGACTGTAATCGAGACAAAATTGAAATGGAAGGCAACACGCATTTTAGGAGACATCAAAACATACTTTGTCACATGACTTTACAAAACATGTACTCCCTCCATCCCAAAATTTTTATCTTAGATTTGTCTAAATACGGATGCATCAAGTCACATTTTAGTATTAGGTACATCGGTATCTAGACAAATCTAAGACAAGAATTTTGGGACGGAGGAAGTAGTATGCATTCGTACTCCTGGTCCTGAAGCGTGAGTTCCAATAGCAAAATACTGCTTACACCTCAATATTTTCCTAGACTTGCCCTTGCGTCATAGATTTTTATTTGGTTGTGGTTAGGTCTCAGTCGATTGAGACTTAACCAAGTCTAGTGACATACTCCCTCCTTCCCAAAATAAGTGACTCAAAAATGACTCAACTTTGTACTAACTTTAGTACAAAGTTGACTCACTTTTGAGTCACTTATTTTGGGACGGAGGGAGTAACATTTAAGAAAGAAAAAGAAAAAACCAAATAAATTTTTTTGCACGGATCTTAATGTAATATCTTACGAATATAGCGTCGACTGAGACATAACAAAGTCCTAGTCGACTGAGATTTAGCAAGACTGTTTTTATTTTGGTGTGGCTAGGTCTCCATCGACATAACATAAGATCCTAAAAACAGAAAAAACTAAAAGGAAAAATTAGCACAAATCTCCATTTTAGATCCCATAAATATAGCATCGACTGAGACTTGTTTAAGAGAGATTTAGCAGTCCCTTTTTTTATCCTAGCGTTCATACAATTCTTTGTTTTAGGGAGTGTTCATACAAATCTTTTATGTAACTGTGTTTACTTTTCTCGGCATTTTACATTTTCACATGGTACCCTTTAGGTGCACATTTCAACTGTGGGAAGGGACAAGATGAGGATTTCATGGGTCACTGACGACCGGAGCACGCCGTCGGTGGTGGAGTACGGCGAATCCCGGGGCAACTACACCGCGTCGGCGACGGGCGACCACGTGACGTACAAATACTTCTTCTACGAGTCCGGCGCGATCCACCACGTGACGATCGGCCCGCTGGCGCCCAGCACGACCTACCACTACCGGTGCGGCAAGGCCGGCGACGAGCTCACCCTCCGGACCCCTCCGGCGTCCCTCCCGCTCGAGCTCGTCGTGATCGGCGACCTGGGCCAGACCCGGTGGACGGCGTCGACGCTGGCGCACATCGGCGGCGCGGACTACGACATGCTGCTGCTCCCGGGCGACCTGTCGTACGCGGACACGCAGCAGCCGCTGTGGGACTCGTTCGGGCGGCTGGTGCAGCCGCTGGCGAGCGCGCGGCCGTGGATGGTGACGGAGGGCAACCACGAGGCGGAGGCGCTCCCCGTGGTGGGCTTCGCGCCCTTCGTCGCCTACAACGCGCGGTGGCGGATGCCGCACGAGGAGAGCGGCTCCGCCTCCAACCTCTACTACTCGTTCGACGTGGCCGGCGGGGCGGCGCACGTGGTGATGCTGGGATCCTACGCCGAGTTCGAGGAGGGGTCGGAGCAGCGCGCGTGGCTGGAGCGGGACCTCGCCGGCGTGGACCGGCGGAGGACGCCGTGGCTGCTGGTGCTGCTGCACGCGCCGTGGTACAACACCAACCAGGCCCACCAGGGGGAGGGCGAGGCGATGCGCGCCGCCATGGAGGCGCTCCTCTACGAGGCCCGCGTCGACGTCGTCTTCTCCGGCCACGTCCACGCCTACGAGCGATTCGTAAGCCAGCCCTACCGTTCATCATCTCATCTCGTGGTGTTCCTACATTCTTGCTGCATCAATGAACTAATTTTCTGTCTGATGGATGAAACAGACGAGGATCTACGACAACGAGGCCGACGGCCGGGGCCCGATGTACATAACCATCGGCGACGGCGGCAACAGAGAAGGGCTTGCTCTCAAGTACGCGATGCATCGATCGATCAATCGATCTCACTGTTGCGGCTGCGGATTTCCTTGGTCTTTTGTTAGATTTTGAAGCTTGATTCTTGTTTTTGTGCTGAAGGTTCCTGGAGGATCACAAGTCGGCGCACCTGTCGGTGTTCCAGGAGGCGAGCTTTGGGCACGGCCGGCTGAGGATCGTCGACGAGACGAGCGCCGTCTGGACGTGGCACCGCAACGACGACGAGTACGCCACCGTCCGCGACGAGGTCTGGCTGGAGAGCTTGGCTAGTCCAAAGCTATCCATGGCAGCCACCAGTCGTCACGACGAGGAGTTGTAGAATGTTGCAGATCAGTACACACCCTACTGTTGGGACCGCCGGGAAATCAAACTCTTTAATTGGGTCATAAGGCAGCACTCCCACTAGTACAGAATGATGCTCACAGTTCGTTCGAAACACGTGTGTGATAAGTCGAGATAATGCACACGATTGAAATACAAGAACCGTGTGTGTTCATGGGCAAACAATTCTGTTCAACAAATTGTGTGCCATGATGTAAAGCATCGCACACGGTGCATAATATGTGGACCGCGTACGAAGATCCACAAGCAGTTTACCAAAGATAACTCATGTGCGATAACTCGTGACAGCCCAAATGGCCTGCAACACAAGCATGTTTCCAAAAGCCTCGTCCGAACAGTGGCGGATCCAGAAATTTAACATTAGATGTTCAAAAAACAAATTCACCCTAATAGATTATCTAATTGGTTCACCCCAATACAAATACAAATTGTTCACTAGCAGCTATATTTTCCTA